TGAACTCCTCCCCTCTGGACGGCGTTACAGGTCGCTGTCCACCAAGACAACCAGGTACAGGGACAGTTTCTTCCCCCAGGCCATCTCTCTGATGAACACTTGACCAATGACAGTATGACTGGACAATAACCCTCAGTGCAATACCTGTAAATATACCTTGTACAGATTATACAGACTCCTACATGTCTCTAGTACTCTGTTTTAAGTACTCTATTTTTATCCCTAATTATCTCATTTCAATGAACATTCCCTTGTTGTCTGCATTGTTTACTGTCTGTTTATGCTGCTTTTTTCTGCATTGTTTGCACTGGTTGTTGATGTTAATACTGCTATTTTGTTATATTACACATTGAGAGTCAAATTCCTCATGTGTCCAACACACCTGGCCAGTAAACTGATTCTGACAAGGAATTTGTTTCTGGTACTGAACCGATGGCAGCCATCTGCGGCGCCAACTCAATCGGTCGATGGTTCTAACCAGCGGGGGACGGGGTTCATTGTCTTGCCCAAGGACACTTCGACATGTGGACTGCCGCCACCGAGATTCAAACCTTCAACCTCCTGGTTGGGAAACGACTGCTCTACCCACCATACCACTGTCGCCTCCCTTCCTATGTGCTTGTAATGGTTTAGAAGCTAGTAATTGTATCACTTTTTTAAATGACAATTTTAAAGGTGTTGTGGTACCAATATTTACAAGAGTACTATTAGTTCTCTCTCGCCTGCGGAGTGCACAAGACGACAATATTTCCTTACTAAAGTAATTTTTCCTCTGACAGTCGTCAGATCTGAACAGCCCTCTTAGATAAACAAAGCACATTAAATCTTACAGCACCTTAGTTCATGTCAGTTCACATAAAATAAAATCAACAAACTTCATTACAGGAGCATAACTGGAGGAGAGAGGTGGAGAAGGCCCACTCTTGTCATCTTGTCTTGTCATCAGCAGGTTTATACCGGATGTGACTGGTTTTGATTTCTTGATATTTCACTTTTGTGCCACTATTCATCAACTCTCATTATTAATAGCTGCACTGTGTAAAACTAATGGGAACTGAAAGTATTCAGTGCATTGTGCTTCCATTCTTTGTGCTAAGCTAGGCTAACAGATTCCCCCTGCTTCTAGTATTAACAAGATGTTGTGGACTAAAAAAACTTAGAAAAAATCAACTAGACTAGATTTCTAGGTCGACCTAGAAATCTAGTCTAGTTGATTTTTTCAGTTTACTATGACCTGGATGACTGAGAATCTGCACAGACATGAAGATGTTGTGGAGGCTAACAGTTTCCCCATGCTTTCAGCCTTTGTGCTAAGCTAAGCTAACCATTTCTCTTTCCTTCCAGTCTTTGTGCTATGCTAGGCTAACCATGTCTCCTGCTTCCAGTCTTTGTGCTAAGTTAGACTAAAATGCTAGGGTAAGTGTTGACTGTGTACTGAAAACAAAGACCAAAAAAGGTTTAACATTGTACAATTAAGATATTTGCTTCCTCTTCATTGCTATTCTCAGCTGTGGTGATGATCTGTTGTGGATCTTCAGATTCGTTTTTAGTGACTCGGGTACAAGCCGAAACATTTTGTGTAAATGATCCAAGAGTTACTGATCAGCTGACTGATAACAGTAAACAGGCTGATGTGAAAGGACTGATCGATTTGACTGATTTGTGATGATAATGAGTTAAATGCAATCTTCCTCTGATGAAGGCTTGTCTCCTCTCTCCTCCTGTAGTGCTGATAGAGATGCAGGACGAAGAGTTCAGACAGAAGAGCTCCCCAGGTCAGCGCACACACAAACATACCGTACACTGACATTCATTTCCTGGAGACTCTACCGAGCCGTAAACGAAGTTGTCACCCTAAAATTCAATGTTTTGCACGGTGGGTACCAGAGGAAGGTGGGCCCCCACACTGTGAGTAATACCAGGCACACCTAACCAGGTACACACAGGTTGCTCTTTCTATCTTTGTGAGGACACTTGGTGACAATGCATACCCTTGCTCCATACCCTACTCTTAACCTAACGGAAGGTGGTTAGGGGTAGAGAAGCGATGGTAAAATAAAAATTTTTTTAATTCCTTTCCTTTCATGGGCCTAATTTATTTATTAGATGCAGTAGTTAACCACGCAAAAACGGCAAACATGTAATTTGACGACTACAGTCACTACACAGCTATGAATATAGTTGAACTATGCAAGTTATGGCAAAATGTAGTTAAACTACTAGTTTAATTACATGTAGTTCACTACTCCCCAACACTGGTAGCTTCTACCTGAATCTTAATCTGTTATAGGCGTTCACACATACAGAGACAAAGTAGTTGGCCGTTGCTGGATTCTGGCGATGCTGTAGTTCTGGGAGTGTGTGGTGTTGAGCTGGACTGATGTGATTATACACTGTACTGTTTGCTGTAGTCTATTCCCTGTTGTACCACTTGTTTATGATCACAGTAGGTGATTCTAATAAGTTGGAACTTGAAGTCCAAACTCCCTAGGACAGGAGATGCAGTACTCTCAACATGCAACTGGAACAATGGCATCCTGGCAGACAAATGACTGTGCTCTGTAGGAGATGTAGCTGTCTGTATATACACCGATCAGGCATAACATTATGACCACCTGTACGCACTTCAATGCAACACTTCTGCCTTAACATTTGTGTATATGAAGCTCAAAATGTTTGTCTTTAGTGAGATTGTCATAAATGTATAAATTCAATGATGTGCTAATTATTGAGGTCATAATTAAAGGTAGTGTTGTCCTGGACTCTTATATTCAGAGGTGTCTGTATATTTTTGTCCTGCACGTTGACATACATGAGAGGGTCAGAATATTAGGAACACCTCTGAATATAATGAACTACTTTGTGTGTCATTTTGAGCAGTGGTCCCCAACCCCCGGGCCGCGGACCGGTACCGGTCCGCGGCCCGGGGGTTGGGGACCACTGCTCAAAATGACACACAAAGTAGTTCATTATATTCAGAGGTGCTCCTAATATTCTGACCCTCTCATGTATGTCAACGTGCAGGACAAAAATATACAGACACCTCTGAATATAATGAACTACTTTGTGTGTCATTTTGAGCAGTGGTCCCCAACCCCCGGGCCGCGGACCGGTACCGGTCCGCGGCCCGGGGGTTGGGGACCACTGCTCAAAATGACACACAAAGTAGTTCATTATATTCAGAGGTGCTCCTAATATTCTGACCCTCTCATGTATGTCAACGTGCAGGACAAAAATATACAGACACCTCTGAATATAATGAACTACTTTGTGTGTCATTTTGAGCAGTGGTCCCCAACCCCCGGGCCGCGGACCGGTACCGGTCCGCGGCCCGGGGGTTGGGGACCACTGCTCAAAATGACACACAAAGTAGTTCATTATATTCAGAGGTGCTCCTAATATTCTGACCCTCTCATGTATGTCAACGTGCAGGACAAAAATATACAGACACCTCTGAATATAATGAACTACTTTGTGTGTCATTTTGAGCAGTGGTCCCCAACCCCCGGGCCGCGGACCGGTACCGGTCCGCGGCCCGGGGGTTGGGGACCACTGCTCAAAATGACACACAAAGTAGTTCATTATATTCAGAGGTGCTCCTAATATTCTGACCCTCTCATGTATGTCAACGTGCAGGACAAAAATATACAGACACCTCTGAATATAATGAACTACTTTGTGTGTCATTTTGAGCAGTGGTCCCCAACCCCCGGGCCGCGGACCGGTACCGGTCCGCGGCCCGGGGGTTGGGGACCACTGCTCAAAATGACACACAAAGTAGTTCATTATATTCAGAGGTGCTCCTAATATTCTGACCCTCTCATGTATGTCAACGTGCAGGACAAAAATATACAGACACCTCTGAATATAATGAACTACTTTGTGTGTCATTTTGAGCAGTGGTCCCCAACCCCCGGGCCGCGGACCGGTACCGGTCCGCGGCCCGGGGGTTGGGGACCACTGCTCAAAATGACACACAAAGTAGTTCATTATATTCAGAGGTGCTCCTAATATTCTGACCCTCTCATGTATGTCAACGTGCAGGACAAAAATATACAGACACCTCTGAATATAATGAACTACTTTGTGTGTCATTTTGAGCAGTGGTCCCCAACCCCCGGGCCGCGGACCGGTACCGGTCCGCGGCCCGGGGGTTGGGGACCACTGATTTTGAGGATATATTTGTGGACTGTTATGAAAAGGTGCTTCTGTGAAAAGAGCCGCCTCAAAACATTTGTGGGCTGCTTTGTCAGGCAATGTAAACAAATAAATATGGATTTTAGTAATCGTTCACCTCACCTGACCGTAGTCATTGCAGTACCTTAAACATTAATAGAACATTGCCAAATGACAAATAGTCCCTTCAAATTTGTAGAAAAAAGTATCTCAGCCATGTGTAGCTGGGTCACTGGAATTTGCAGTGTGGTGGGGCTGACTTTTGTAATGCAATGACTGTCACCACATAGTTTTACAAATAGTGAATAGCGTACTAAAGACATAGTCTCTGTGTGAACAGATAATTTCATAGATACAGGATCTGCATGAACACATTACTCTATGGATATCTAGATGCACATAAATTATGTACCAGAGTCAATAAAGGTGATTCTGATTCTGATGTGCTACTGTAGATTTTAATAAATAACTGCCAGTGAGGGGAGTGCCCTTTTTCTCAACTTGAGCATCAGACCCCCAAAATGTCTGTGCATGGCCCTTTTGCACTGTTTCTGTACTCACGGTAAATCATGGATGATTTCTGTCTGAATTCTCCAAAATGAAAAACTCTCCCATCTCTTATAGACAGGTGTAGGAGCAGGGGGAGGGATAACCATGGAGACGGCCTCACCTGAGAGGTGCGAGTTGCCATGACCGCTTCATTTAAATATGAACGATTTATCTCCAGCCTTTGTCAGGTGGTTGCACTGTTTGTCTCCAAACTGTGCTCCCTCTTTCATTCTGTTTTGTTTTTTCTTTTAATGGGTCATTGAAAGTTAGAATGGGAGGGTGTTGATGAGAGAGAGAGAGAGAGAAAGAGAGAGGCCGCTGAACTGAACGAGCTGCTCTAAGGATAAGGATAATCACCTTTATTGGCCAAGCATGTTACATACAAGGAATTTGTTTCTAGTACAGAACCGATGGCAGCCATCTGCGGCGCCAACGCAAATGATGGCTCTAACTGTCGGGGGCAACGGACTTTGACATGTGGACTTCAGGCACTGAGATTTGAACCTTCAACCTTCTGGTTGGGAGACGACTGCTCTACCCACCGCACCAATGTCGCCTCCCCCTAAGACAATGTGCATGCTGCACTCACTCCAAGCTGTGCAGGGCTAGGGCTCACCGTATTACGAAAAAATACAGCATGTTTTAATGCCAAAATAGCCTACAGTATCAAGGAACAGCTATTTAGTGTCTGTGTGTTTACTGTGGAATATAGACACGCCTTATCAGACAACAGGAGAAGGGGGGGATCCTGTTTTCATGTTCCTCTGCTGAAGGGGGCAGATATGTTTCCTACCAAAAAAAGAAAGAGGCTCTGGCAGGCCAGATTTGTGACACCACAAATTCAGACAACTAAATAAGGTTCATGGGTTTTCCAGAGTTCAGGAGAAGCCAGAAGCCTCTGGTTTCCAGCCAGAGCTAATTATTCAGCACCAAGAAGTGAAAGTTGTCTTTGACAGCTCACTGCTAAAGCTAATGGTTAGCCTTGTGCTAACGGTTAGATGAAGAGCTACAGGCAACAGACTCGGCTCAGCTCATCACCTTGTCCAGGTAAACCTCACTGTGTGCTGCAGAGGAATAAAAGTGGAATTTCTGGTTGCTCCACTTGACTTTCATCACAGAAAAACCACACCCTTTTTTTTTGTCTTTTTGTCCTGTTTGTAACCTTTCTCCAACTTGTAATCCCTGTCAGACCTGTCGTAACAGGTTGCCTATGGCTTATGACCCTGTAACCAGACATTGCATGAGCCATAAGCCTTCTTTGGTGGAGACCCTACCAAACTCCCACATAAATCACACCCTGGTTCATATTGTCCTCATGTGGAGCATATTTCTAAATAAAGTTGAGGTTCCAGGGTCCATATGCAGAGGACTGTAGGTTTAATCTGGCCCTGATCAGGACATGTTTTAGCTGAACCCGTTTCAGATCTCTGGTCCTCCTGCTGCTTAATGTTTGGTCCCTGAGCGCTGCATCGTTAAGGTTAGGGTTACACAGGCTAACCCTAACCCCATGTTTCAGGTGGGATGGCGCTGAGTATTGCAGTAATTTACATGATGATGATGATGATGATGATGATATGTTTCAGAGGCCAGCCTGCCAGGAGAAGACATGGTTGACGATAACAAGAGCTGCCACTGTGAGTTTGTACCTCAGGATCTAACCCCGGGGTTGAAGGCCACCATCAGAGCCATCTGGTACAAACTGTTTGTTTTTATTTTATCCAGAAAATCATTTTTATTTTCATCACTTTATCTGCTCACCATTCATCGCTTTACTCACCTTTATTTGCTGGTTATTCTGCTTTTCATTCACAATATTTTTATTATTATTTGTGCTCACCCAGGGTCAAAGGTCACCATCGACTGTTGGGTAAGACCAGTTAGTCTGACCATTTAGCTTCATTGTTTTCTGTTCTGTTGTCTGCTACTAAAGCTCCTCTGTCATGCTGTTTGGTAAGAATTTTTATTGTTACTTCTTTTTTGGTGGTGTTATGTGCAGAGCAGTACTGTCCACTCCACAGCTCCTCTCCTGTCAGCTAATTGAAGTTAAAATTTCAGGAGCGGTTCTTCTCCAACAATCCAGTTGTCCAGTTCTCTAAAGTTGACCTCATGTCAAACACATTCTGGGTTAGCTCAGTTGCAGTAGTTCCAAACCAAATCCAAAACTATCTAAGAGGACCAGAAGCTCTCAGCTCATACAAAAATAAATAAATGTGAAGTGTTAGTTCCCTTCTATTCTGTGTCTGTGTTTCCTAGTTTGGGCTTGGGCACTCTAGTTCCATCAGCCCTGGTCCAGGATAAGTGACAAAGGCAGGTACTCCTATCATGGACTGAGTCTCTTCCAGCCTGAGTCATTTGGATTTGACAGCAAGAAGATAAAATCCTAAAACACTAATCATCCATTGTTCTCAAAGATTTCTGAAACATGATTGATACCTGCGAGTGACCAATGATGTCACTTTTTGCGATCAGGGAGGAGATGTTCACTGTTCATGCAGCTGAGCTTTTTCCTTATTTTTTTTCTACCTTATGAGCACAAATGTCTTTCCATGGAAGCATTAGACACTGCTGGTTGGTGCCATAAATTTTTTGGTATAAAAATGTGGTGTTCTCATGGTTTTATATGGCTGTCTCCCTCCAGAACTCTAGCAGTTATTGAGCAGTAATTAAGGCGGAAGGTTTCTGATCTTTCCTGACAAACAGTCTGAGTTCATTTGTCTTTGTAGCATTCAGGTGGTCTACAGATTTGTCCCAAGCTTAAGTAGGAAACATACATTTCCACAACCTCCGGTTTCCTGTGGTATTCCCAGGCCTGATGGGAAATATAATCCAATATGTTCTGGTTCCACCCCAGGGTCTGCTCTCGGGTAGATGTACCCAGGATACTCCCTCAATATTCTGATCAGATGTTCAATCACCTCAAATGACTCCTTTAAACATGAAGCAGCAATAGGTAAATGAGAAGAATGTAGAGAGAAGGAAGAGTGATGTGTTCATGTGTTCTAGAGACCAGTCCAGACCCACTGTCTGGACTGGTCTCTCTGGGCAGAAGACTCAGTCTGTGAGATGGAACTGGACTACAGAAACCAGTCCAGACCCACTGTCAGAAGACTTTGTAGGTCTGACAGATGGATCTAGTCTAGAGAAACCGGTCCACACTAGATTCACCATATCATTTCTATTAGTTCCTGTGCCCACCTGATGTCTTTCCAACTGTTAGAGGTTGGGTGACAGTTGACTCCTGTTTTTCTCTCTCTCAGCATCATGAGGTTCATGGTGTCTAAGAGGAAGTTTAAGGAGAGTCTTCGTCCCTATGATGTCATGGATGTGATCGAACAGTATTCAGCTGGACACCTGGACATGCTCGCCCGCATCAAGAATCTTCAGTCAAGGTAAGACTTGACGTCTGACTCTGACCTGTTGCCCTTTTGTGTGTTACTTCCGCATCTCCTAAATGATTTCCCTGTTGAATCGTTCATCTAACCATCAGAGAGTTCCTGTTTTTAGACCAGCACTTGGTTGAGAATATAGGCACAATGGAGATGAACTGCACCTGGTGAGTGGACGACAGCAGAGGATGGTGACTAAAATCCACAGTCAAGACGTACAGTTTAGGAGCTTTTCACTGGCCTTTATTCTGTACAGGAAGTCACAAACTCACATTGTGGTAGATCCCGATTTAATATGCCATCAAACCAACTGTTCAGCTTCTCCTCAGGGTCCAAAACAGCTGTTGGTTTCTATATGACAAGGAGACTGATAACATGCTGATCTGTGTTGGTCTCCATACCTCATTTTGCTCATTTCCAGCCCTTTAATGTTTAATCTTGGGTACATCTAGATTACCTTGGCACCCCTCATAACCTCAAATAGTCAAATTTTTTCAGAACGATAAAACCAGAGAGTCTCTTCCTAAAAACGAGAGGATACTTCATGAACGCTGTTGGTCTTGTGTCGCAAGTGGACAGCACAACAAACTGCGACGGCAGTAATTAATATGAATGTCTCCTCCATAGATAGTTAAACAACAGTATATGTCCCAAAGAGATGTGTAACACTTTAAACAAAGTGGGTAACTGAGAAACCCCATATTTAAACAGACATAGTAACTTCTCCAGCCTTACAACAGTTCTCTCTAACATGACAGAAACAAGGCATTAACAGACGCATGTAATATAACAAGCAGTCGTCTCCCAACCAGAAGGTTGAAGGTTCAAATCTCGGTCCCGGCAGTCCATGTGTTGAAGTGTCCTTGGGCAAGACACTGAGCCCCCCGTTGCCCCTGATAGTTAGAGCCATTGGTTCTGTATCGGAAACAAATTCCTTGTGTGTGTAACATATTTGGCCAATAAAGGTGATTATCCTTATCCTTATTATAGTGGAAATGCAGTATCTGAGAACTACATGTCATGCCCTGTTTGCTGACTGTGTTCAGCCCCTCTGGTAAACGCCACCATCAATCACACATTTATTCTGTTAACAAACTATTGTGCAAATACCAATTAATAAAATCCCATTTGCTGCAATTTTACAAGGAATGATGTTTCTATAAATTCTCATGTTGATCCAGCATCTCAACCAATCAGCTCTAAGATCAGGTGAGAGCCAGGTATTTCCTATCATGCCCTGAGCTCTTGCAGTCTGTGGAGAGCAACTGCAGCACCTGACTACAAAAACCTGCAGCTGCCTCGATTCTGAGAGAATATTGCTGCCCATATTATATCAGAACCAGTCAGAAAACCAACTGGCACACATTGCTGGTGATCAGTTCTGCTTAAATCTGGGTCATCTTAAACATGCCTCTTACTTCAACTTCAGTGTCGGCAACTTAAGGCTCTGTGAGGTCACTGTAATGGTGTTTCCTGATTGGCAGGGTGGATCAAATAGTTGGCAGAGGAACACCAATTGCAGATAAAGACCGTCCCAAAGCAGCCAGTGATGAGCTTCCTGAGGACCCGAGCATGATGGGACGGCTGGGGAAGGTGGAAAAGCAGGTAATTACTAGCAACTAGTCTGTTGTTCACAAGAGTTTCAGCGAAGTGGCACTGAAAACTCAAACTTTGAACTTACTGATTGGTCTCATGTCCCTCAGGTCCTCTCTATGGAGAGAAAGTTGGACTTCCTTGTTAATATCTACATCCAGCGAATGGGAATCCCTCAGGCTGAGACCGATGCCTACTTTGGGTCTAAGGAACCGGACCCAGCCCCGCCCTACCACAGTCCAGTGGATCAACTTGAGAAGAGCCAGTCCATCTCAAAGATTCTGCAGTCAGTGTTTATTACTGGGAAACCACAGGGCCAGTTACACAACAGAACCTGTTGTTGATCAGATGTTGTCACTGAGCAGGGTTTTGACCCTTTAGCATGTTAACATGTAGTTAACATATTATTTACGTGTTGCACAGGGTGTTGCCTGGTGACCATGTAGAGAAGAGTCGTTACGTGACAAAGATGGTCCGCTCAAGCAGCTCCACTGGACACAGGAACTACAATTCCCCCACCTGCCCCCCCTCCACTTCCTGGCAGCCAATCAGCTCTCAGCTCCACCAGCAGGGCCCTCCCCAGCATAGCCACGGCAACACACCGAGTCCAGTGGGGGATGGGTCACTGGTTCGACTCCCACCTCCTCCGGCTGGAGAGAGACATAGCGGGAACCGATCAAACCGTCACAGCACTGGAGACCGAGGGGGTGCAGAGACACTGGACAGGAGAGGAGAAGGGGGCAACGGAACAAGTGGAGGAAGAGGAGGGGGAGTGGAAGTGGAGGAGCTAAAGCTGGACAGTGACACCTCCGTCTCAATCCCGTCAGTGGACCACGAGGAGCTGGAACGCTCCTTTAGTGGCTTCTCCATCTCCCAGTCCAGAGAGAACCTGGACTTCCTCAACAATGGCTTCTACTCCTCCACCAACCTGGGAGAACACCATGGAGGAGGAGG